CCCAGCCGGGAAGGGAAAGGCAAAAAGCGCTTTGCCTTTCCCTTCCCGAGGCGGCGGGACTGGGGCCGCTCCGGCGGCAGCGACTCCACACCATTTTTTTTTTCAGAGGGGAATCTGACTCGAGTATAAGCCGAGGGGGATTTTTTCAGCACAAAAAATGGGCTGAAAAACTCGGTTTATACTCGAGTATATACGGTAGTTAAGTTAATTCCAGTACTATTAATCTTCTCTCTATACTTAGTGCAATAACAAAATACTGTTATTGTACATGAGCATTCTATCTTTAAATGCTTGTATCACATAACCAAAGTGGTATCAAGGAAGAGGCAAATAATTTCTTGAACAGACATTCTTAATTCTATCTGTACAAAGCTTTATTCGTTCGAGTGTAGTTCCATTATATTCTTTCAAACATGCATCTAGGAGCTGATTTTGGTAAGTGCATCTACTTTCTGAAATATTACAAGTATAAACAAGATAATATGGTAAATTTATTTTATTTGCAAGTGGATGTACAGGTGAAACTCAAAAAAATTAGAATATCGTGCAAAAATTCATTTATTTCAGTAAAAGGTGAGACTAATATATGATACTCATTACACGCAAAACAAGATAGTTCAAGCCATGATTTGTCATAATTAAGATGATTATGGCTTACAGCTCACCTGTAGATAGTATACTACAGTGGAAAATTTCATAAATGTTTTTTGCAAATTCTGTTTTTAAAGTTTTGTCCTGAACTGCAATCCATTTTATTTTTGTTTTTTATGAATTGAAATCTATGCTACAGTACTTAAAATCTGCATTGTTTTGATATGATTTCCTTTCTTCAAGCTTTTTATAAAAATTCATAATCATTTCTTACATCTCAAATAATAAGACTGCAGTAAGGTTTCAAAACTATAATGTTTATGTACTTTAAAAGTACTCATTTATGAACTTGCATATGAGAAAGTTGAATGATAACACGTATACAACTTTTTGGGATATAAGCATACATTGCTTTCCTAATTTTTTTCAATATATTTTTGCAGTTAAAAGGGACTGAAAGTGCTTCTAGATTGAAAGGTATATTGATCAAGGTATATATTTGTGTGTCTTCTTAGAATTGGCTTGTCATGAAAATCTGAACAGTACTTAAACAGCTCTGTACGCTTGCAAAGAGGGATACAAATTTAATATTCTAACATCAGTTTTAAGTTGGATTTAATATTTTAATTGGATTTAATTCTTTTAAGTTGGGTTTAAAAATAAATTATTAAGCAAATTGAGGAGCATTTTTTCCAATTAATAGATTGTCCAAAAATTAAAAAATATTAATAGATACAATAGGGAATTTAATCCAGGTCATTAACAAAATTGTTCCTTTATTTCTTTTATGAAACAGGTACAATTTCATAAAAACAATGTAAACTAATGCAAGCTGTATTGTTTTCCATAGGTTTACATTTCTCCATATTTGTCTGGGCAGAATGTGATAGATTTGTTTCATTGTGAATGTTCATTGTTTATGAACATTATGTGTAAAAAGTTTTCTTGATAAGTTTTTGTGTCCTGGGCATCTATTAAAAAATCTTGTATATTGAATAATTTTGTTATGTATCAGAATTTTGAAAGTGAAATAAATACCTCAATGAGGCTTTTGTGGTCAGTTAATTTTATTAAATATTTGTTCCTAAAAATGTGTTGTTTTTATTTACTGTTTGTCATATCAATGGTCCAAGCAATCATTATCCATTAAATAATATCCCAATGGTATTTTAGAGAGCTTTAAAGATCTGGCTGTTTCTTCTGGCCTCAACCAAAGGTGGCTGAAATGTTCCCTTTCCACCAGATGTTGGTGCTATGGTCTGATGGATTCACCATCTTTTTTCTTTTCTAATCTGGCTCTGTTTTTATTGTTTGCTTTGTTTTGTTTCTTTGTTTGTTGTACTATGAGCCATCCAGAAATCGCCCTGGAGTCAGGCAATAAAGTGAAGTTAAAAATATATATATATTATGTACTATTGCTTCAAATCCTGTACTTTTCTTAACTGTGTCCCATACACATAGAAAATTGTTAAATAGTACAAGACTTGACAGATATGTTAATAGTTGAAGCCACTGTTTTGGCTAGAGCTTTTTCTAAGCGTGCCGAGAACCAGTTTGTGATATGAGCAGATTCCAAAATCTATACCACTGACGTAATTTTTGAATCAACATGCAGAATGCACTATGGAGATTATTTTGGCAAGATTTTGATGTAGGAATCTCTTTATATCCTGCATCTGATCCTTGATCTTGGAGACCTACAGAGGTGGTATTCAGCAGGTTCTGACCAGTTCTGGAGAACCAGTAGCAGAAATTTTGAGTAGTTCGAAGAACCGGCAAATACCACCTCTGAATGGAGATTTTACAGTATTCTTCCCCAAGCCACGCCCACAGAACCCATAGTAAAAAAAATTGAATCCCACCATTGGAGAGCTACCTTCCATACTAGGAAAGTAAAACAATCTTACATTTTACTTTCATAAAGTACCTACCTGCCATACTTTATGAAAGTAAAACAATCTCACATATGCTACACACTTGGGTTTCACATCATTAAATTCATAAATATGCTAAGCCAAAACAAAGCAGATTACACTATGGCTTAGCATGATGAGTGAATTCACACAGTATTAGATTCCTGTACCAAAATATGTGCCTGAAGGACATGGCCAGTCACAAAACATTTTCCTAGAAGGCAAAATAACTTTACTAAAAAACACAATGGGGCGGAGGCTTACTCTACTGTTTTGGAGAGTTTCCTACTTCACAAACCATAAATTCAGATATAACCTATGCCAAATTATTTTAATATTTGATTTCAAAATTCACAGCATAGTACTGTATCAGTTTTACAGAATACAGATTGATAATCAAAGAGTTGAAGCAACAACCACAAACAATATCCCTGACAAAACACTAAATGAAAAATGGTAAATATCAGTCCCTACCCTACAAACCATAAAGTACTGTTGTAAGAAATATCTAGGTCCAGTTCCAAGGTGGGAGAAAGCTACTGGAAATAAAATGGAACCTGGAGACTGATTGGAAATAAAGGAAGCAGAACCACTAACTACATGATTCTGGGACAGCTGACAAAATGGAGTTTAGAATGAGTAGGTTTTATACCTTTAGGATTCCTATGGGGTCATGTATGGATAGTTACTGGCTCTATAGGCAAAAGGGGAAATGCAAACCCTAAATGTTTGTCAGAGCTAATTTTGTCAACCTTTGGCTTGTGTTGCTTATCTGAAGTTTCTGCCTGACCCAGACTTTCTGAATGGATTACCAAATCTGTATTTCTATAAACTGGCCTCTTTAGTTTTTGATTGGGCAGGAAACTCAGCTGATTTCTGCCTCCCTTGAGGTTTTTTCCCCATTTCTCCTTTAGGGAAATATTCTATCCTGCCTTTTTAATATTTCCCAAAATATTTCATTCTAGGGAGGAGGGTGTCTTCATACAAGCCTTACTTTTGAATAGCACTTAGCATTTAGACTTTTATTCTGCTTCAC